GTTTTGGAGAATCATCATAAAGTTTGAGGGGGTACTAGTGGTATGAAGTGGCTCAGGGAGTACACAAAAAGATTGGGAACCCCTGGTCTGGAAAACTGACCAGGATTTAAAAACTATCAGTTTTGGATGGGTGCAAAACATTTTATATGTGTACCACAGGAAAATATATCCTTTTTGGAGGTTTTATATCTAATCATTACAAAAAATGCTATATTAGCATCAGTGCTGCAATAAACTTCTAACATCCAGCAGAAATAAACTTCAGAAAGAAAATAAAATAAATTGAAATAAAATGAATAAATACAATATTAACGTAAAGTCTACTAGTTTTTTTTTATATTTACCTACATATAGATTAAAAGGCTGAAACAGAAACATTAGTTTGTCCTTAGCTATTTAATCAATCTTTAAACAATAAACACAGTTTTAGTTAYTTAGACTCTTTAATGATAATGTTTGCATGACTGTTTTAATTAAATCCTTCAAGGCAACTATAGGCAATTATAAAAAAGAGCCTGTTATGAAGTTTCTCAGGTTGTTTAAGTCATTTTAATCCTTTCATGTTTCAGCTTCTTTGTTTCTGTTCCCTTTGTTACAAAATACAGTCGATTATAAGGTAGATGTGAACATTTATGGGGGAATACAGCTGAATATAGAAGCTATTTTGTGTGTTTATGTGTGTGTGTGTGTTACTATCGTTCATGGGCTCTCTTGTTTCATTTCAGTAACCGGCTTTAAAATGACTAAGACTGCAGTCTTTGCTGTATCACGACCCGGACAGTGAGTCAGCACTCTGACCCTGCATCCCCCTCCCCATCACACACACACAAACACATACGTCTATACAGACAACTGTTCAGCATAGGATGCAGACAAACCTTCATATTCCTGACACACACACACACCCAGCCCCCTCCTTTGCTCACTAACCTCTCGCTCACACTGACAAACACTGGTATTACTGCGTCGTGACTGAAGGCGATGCGTTTCTCCTAATTTGCACAGACAACTGAGGATCACACCGGCATGCTGCCACACAAAATATCCCCCCTCCTCCTCATCCTCATCCTCCCTCCTTCTACTTCAGCAACACAAACTGCATTCTTTGTGTGTCTGTCTCGTTCACTGCATGCAGCAAGGAGCAGCAAGGTCTCCTGCCGTGCTGCAGGATGAGCCTACATTACCCAGAAATCTACAGTCTGTTGTGCAGCCATGTCACTTCCTGCTCTACCGTTTCTGTTACACATTCCTAAACACCATCACATTGTCAAGAGGATGATGCTCATTGGTCAAAGTCTGGAAATCCCCTCACTCCCAAACACATGCATTTTATTCTCATAAACCTTTCCCTGTGCCTGACAGAAATCAGTGCCGGCAGCAGACGCGCACTGTGATTCATGAAGAAAATATTAATAACAAAACAAAGCCCAAAAGGTTTTCAGCCAGTGTTGAAAACATGACTTTTCACCTTTTGCAACAAAATCACAGAGGAAATGCTAAGCCGAGAATGTCTAAGAACAGGGAAGTTATATTTCTGCCACGTGACCTTTAACAACTACTGTTTTTTTTTTTCAATTTTTTTACTCATTTGGTTGTAAACAGGATGTGTTGTCACCGCTTCTCTTGACCTCAGCTGTCCCCTCAAACCCGTAGCATATGACCCTCAGTGACACCATTTAGAATATCCTCTAAACCAAGCACACAAATCTGTTAAAAAAAACACTTCAAAAGCCAAAATTAGTTTCATTTTACAGACTACCGAGACAAAACACTGCCCAGCAGCAGTGTAGCTAGTGGTCTGTTAGATGTTACTACAGTAACTGCACACACACACCATGCATGCACTTGCACAAAGCTTTTTCAGACCTAATCTGACTGAACCAAATAGACACTTAGCAACCAAACAGCAAGCCGAGCTTTTAATCGAGACATACGATTCTGTGAGGAAAACAACAACAAAAAAAAACACGTTTAGTCGCACGCTAGATGATCAGACATCCATGTGATCACTCACACGCTAAGACACAAACACTTACATCCTCCCACCGGCACATGTGGATAGGCAGAGCGAGGCCCTCAGTCTAGACAAGAGGCAGAGGAGGAGAGAGAAGAGAGAGGCACAGTGGAGGGGCAGTGGAACAGCAGAGGATATGGATACACTTACCCCTTTTCTGGAGCCATCCCTCTCTAACGACGGTGACATCGCTCATGGTTCCTTCACGCCGAGTCTGATGCCGTTACACTTCTGCTCAACACAGAGAGAGAGAGAGGGGAGGAGGGGAGGAGAGGAGAGAAAGAGAGGGAGAGGAGGAGAGGAGGAGGAGGAGGAGGAGGAGGGGGGCGGCTCTCCCAGTCTCCGCGTCACTCTCCCTCCCTTCCTGTCGTTCCCGTTCACCCTTTAGTTCGCGCAGCCTCTCTCTTTCTCAGACACACACGCGCACAAACAAGCGGTGTGTATTTCTAAATGTGTGTGTGTCACTTCGCTTCCTGTTTGTGGCTTATCTCCCTGTCTTCTTCTCTTCTTCTTTTTCTCCTCCTCCAACGCCTCCTCCTCTCGCGTTCCCTCTCCAGACCTTCCTCCTTACCAGCGGTGACTCAGCCTGGAAGGAAGTGAAAGAAGAAAACAAATATAATGAAGACAACAACCCAAAAAAAAGACGGGATTTTTTTTTCCCAGAGTCCTTTCACATTATCTGACGAGACAAAGAACTAGTACTTCCTCTGCCCCCACCCCCCCAACGCCCTATCATGCTCAGTTCCTCTTTCTGTCGCAAACACTTTCTCTGATAAACAGGATGAAATATTGCTGAGCTCCTTCTGAAGCAAAAACTGACCTTGATTGCCTAACGAATATCTTTAACCTCCCCCTCTCCTTCATTCATTGAGGTTTTTCTTGTGGTTAGCAGGTGTTCAGGACAAAAGCTGCCCCCACTTCGTCACGCCATGGTCGATAACGTTCTGTATACTAAATTAAGCCATTAGCGTGACCGTCTTTCGGCTGATTTGCACATGTTTTGGATGTGGGAGAGCRTCTCAGGACCGTGGGGTGTAGAGGCTCAGTTAAAAATAGCACCAACGGCAGTTAGGGATGCTCGCTCTCGCGCAGTCTTCCTC